GCACAAAAAGGGACCTACAATTATTTTTGCAATAGGTTTAGGGGGAAATTAAAAATTAAACCAACGATGCTTAACTTGCCAGATCGGACGGGTGGACACATTTACAAACCAGCACGGACGTACTTATACAATATTTAAAATTGTAATGTAAATAGAATAAATAAAATAAATTTTTGGAATAAATAAAAAATTTTTGAAAAAATAATAAATTTAAAAAATAAAATAATTAATTTGTGAAGAAAAAATATTTTAATGAAAAATAATTACAAAAATTGTACAAACTAAAGCAAAACTAACAAAAATTTCAAATGAATAAATAATTTTTTAAATAAAAATTTTTAAATTATTAAAATTTTTAAATAATAAATGGAATAATAAATATGTTATACAAAAATAATAAAATAAATACATAAATATTTAATTAATTAATTTTTTGAAGAAAAAATATTTTAAATCTTATTTAAATAAAAATTATATGAAATTAATTTTTCTGTTCTTCGACGTCTACATAATCTATTGGTAATTTCTCGAAATATTGGTATTTTCTTCAGCCAAAAACGCATACCCGAGGTAGTTGGGGATAGACGAGATCTATGTGATAGCCGCACATTATATTCGTCCTAATAGGGCACTTGAGGGGAATGAGTGGCACTTGAGTAGTGCAAAAGCACGATTAACCCAACGGGCTGAGGACCCTATATAAAGCATCCCTATAGAGGCCCCTATATAAAACATCCATATAAAATGTTTAGCGCGCCATTTACTATGATAATTTCTGGTGCCACAGGAAGTGGCAAAACCCAATGGCTATTAAAATTTCTGGCACATTCTGACCAACTCATAGATCCTCCTCCTTCAAAAATACTATATTGTTTTGGAGAAATGAATGAAACAGTTTTTAAGCTTAAGGAAATGGGAATCACTACTTATAACGGAGTTCCTGATTCTGAATTAATTAAAAAACATCATCTTTTAGTTTTAGATGACTTAATGCTTAATATTCCAAATGATTTTTTAGATTTACTTTTTACTCGAGGTTCACATAATTGGGGCGTAAGTGTGATTTTTGTAACTCAATCTCTATATGGACGTGATATTAAGACCGCAAGAGCAAATGCACATTATATTCTTTTAACAAAAAACCCTCAAGGCCTTCTGCAAGTAAGGACATTAGGCTCCCAACTTTTCCCAAAAATGCTTAATTATTTTCTTGAAGCCTATCGAGATGCAACATCGCAACGTTTTTCTTATTTATTAATAAACATGCATCCTAGCACAGATGAAAATATGAGACTATCCACAAAAATATTTCCTGGAGAAAAAACTACTATATATTTGCCGCTGTAATATATAAGTGCTCGAAACAATTGTAAGATAAAAATGCCCAAGTATAACTATAGTCCATACGTTAAGCAAAATTTTGAGTTTCTCCAAAGTTTAGCAAAAACTACTTCAGATAAAAAGAAAAACGCTCTTATTCTTTCAGCAAGCGCAGATCAAATCTTAGCCATCGTAGAAATTTGTGCTAATATTTTGAAGCACAATTTCATCTTGAGTACTAGACAGCGTAGAAAATTAGCTCAATTTGCTGATTTCTATAGAGCCATCGCTCGGACGCGTACTGAAAAAGGCGCAAGAAATCGAATCCAACAAGGAGGCAGTGCCGCTTTAGCAGCAATTCTAGTGCCAATTCTAGGTGCATTAACGGAACATATTATTCATAAATTCACTCAAGAATGAAACATACAAAGAAAATGATTATGGTGCCCGAAACCGAATATCATACGCTTCTGTCTATGATTAGAGGTGAAGACTTTTTACAAAGGGAAAAAGCACAGACGGATGCAGAAATTACAAGGACATTGAATGATCCAAAAATTTCTGAAGATATAAAAGCAAAGAAATATAGTTGGTTATATAAGAAACGTCGTCAACTCAAGCACGAGTTGGAAAATCGTCCTCAAAGGGTAATTATTGACGATGGTAAAACATCAGAGGTTGCCCCTTACTTGCAAGAATCAATATCTCCTACGCATAAACCTAAAGTAATAAACGAAGAGCAAGAAGAACCACGATCAAACATAGAACCCAATACTTTATTAGAGGCATCATCTTCTAAAACCAGAATCTTAAGAAATAAATTTTCTACACCCTTCAAAGGAATAATTGCAAAGCGCTATTCTAATGAACTGGAAAATTATGTAAAAGAAAATGCTGAAAAGTTTAGAATACGCAAAAACGGGAGCTTTGAATCAAACATTCCAGGAACGATTGTAAAGAACAGTAATTTTATAGATGTTCTCGAATATGTAAAGGGAGACATATCTTCACCCCCTAAAGGTTTTAGTTTTCTTTTTAATCGACTTTCTAAAGATCCATTAGTGAAAGAGATGATTAGAGAGACGCGGGGAGAAAGCACTACTGAAGGTAGTTCAACCGATAATCAATCAGGCAGCGGTAAGAGAAAACAGAGAGTTCTAGTAAAAGTCTTGCCTATAAATTCACCAGGATTTGTTAGACGAAAAAATAAATTTATTCCAAAAATATGGGAAAAGCTTTAGATACCTTTTTAGAAAAAATATATTATTCACTAAATTCTCCTGCTTCATATGCCGGGATAAATCGCGTCTATGAAGAAGCGCGGCGCAAATATCCGAAAATAAAATTTCAATATGTTTATGATTTTCTTCATAAGCAGAGAGTATACACAATGCACAGGCCTCTAAGAAAAAAGTTTCCTAGATTAGCCACAAGACCAAGCGGTTTGCACACAGATTGGCAAGCGGATTTGGCAATATTTGATCAGTTAGCTAAAGATAATGATGGGTACAAATATCTTTTGGTCTGTATTGATGTACTAAGTAGAAAACTTTATGCTGTGCCAGCCAAATCAAAAAGTTCTGAGGATATGATTGAAGCATTCGAAAATATTTTTAAACTTTCAAAAGGGATACTTCCTCATAAATTATATACGGATCGAGGGTTAGAATTTGAGGCGAAACGAATGAAAGAATATTTTAAAAAGAAGGATATAGATAAACGAGTAGTCTATAGTCCAGATGTGCATGCTTCAATGGCAGAAAGGGCCAACCGCACTATCAAAGAGCGATTGTACAGATACTTTAGCGAACAAAATACACTACGATGGATAGGGGTTATTCAAAAAATTGTTTCAGGAATAAATGCAAGTATTAATCGAACCACAGGTGTAACTCCAAATTCTGTTACGTTTAAGAATGCTGGAGAACTTTTTAACAGACAATACTCGAGCCAGAACAAATTGTTCGAATCACAAAAGAAAAAGGTAAATTTGAAAAGGGATATTTACCCAACTACACTGACGAATTGTTTCGCATACATATTAAAAACGACAATAGATATCCCGTCACATAAAAGTTAAAAGATTTTGAAGGAAATTTAATTGAAGGGATATTTTATAAAGAAGAATTGGTACCCACACAAGAAGATACAACTCACCGTATTGCTGAAATTTTAAAAACACGTACCTCTCGTCAAGGTATTAAACAACATTTTGTTCGTTGGATAGGATATAACGATAATTTTAATAGTTGGATTAACGATAGCAATATTGTTAGAAGATAAATATGGACTCTTTTTATGTGATATTACCCTCAAATACTGGAGGGGTTGAAGGAAATACCACTTCTAAATTTACTGTTCGAATGCCTGACACTCTTGAATTGGATTCAAGTTGGACTGTTGCACTATCTAATATTATGATCCTTTTTCTTTTTCATTGGCCGGAGATTCCGAAGAACAAGAATCAATAACTATTTTTCGAAGATATGGAAATGAACTTTTACCAATCGTATCGAGATACCAGATTTGTCCTTTGCATCAGAAGAAGCATTGGAAGAGTCTATAAATGCCGTTTTGCTTGATGTATGGAAATAGGAATTGGATCGCGAGCGTGAGGAAAAGAGGCTTGAAGAGAATAAAAAAAGAATTTATGGGAATTTTCGTAAAAGGCGTTCTGTCGAATCTATAAAAGACAGTATGATAAACATGGTTATTTCGATCTTTATACAAATGAACTCAATAAATTTATCAAGCTATTATCAGAAGAGGATGAGGCAATTAGTCCAAAACTTACAAATTTGAGTCCAGGAGAAAGCGGTAAAAATATTCGTCTTTTGCCTCCTGTAAATCAAAAATCTCTTTACTTAAAAGTTATTGATAAATTTATTGTTTCACACCAACCCTTAGAACCTACGGAGCAATTGGCTAAGAATGGCTATTTCGATATGCAAAAGCAAACCTCTTTTAATTTTATGAAATATTTAGGTAAAAAAGGAATTCGATTACCACCTATAAGCCCTGCCCCTCTTGCAGCTGATGGTATAGAAAGGGTTCGGTTTCGTCCGTATACCGATCAAATGGAGCGAATCAAACAGGCTATTACAGAATTTATGAATCCAGCGAGTGTTAATCAAACTGAGGAGAAGGTTGCATCTATCTATAGTCAAAATGTAGCCATCGAATCTGAATCACCTCCACAAACAGAATTGCCTGCTGCTAAGCTTGAAAAATCGGATGTTAATTTCTCGCTAGATTCCATTACACAACAATTGGAAAAGGAAGGTTATTTTGATATGCCAAAGGAGCGTGCTTATAAATTTATAAAATATCTAAATACGGAAATTAAGGGCGCAAAACTTCCAAATGTATCGGTTGCGGGAAGTTCTGTTGAGACGGTCAGACTAGCGCCACAAGCTGATCAGAAAGATCTAATAATGAATGCAATTAAACGTTTTATGTCTTCTTCCCCATCCGCGCCTATTCAACAACCTGAAACAACAGATTCTGTAGAAGAAAGTATTGTTGAAAATGATCAAGAAAATTCTGAAGAAACTGAAGTGCCTTCACCCACAATTCTAAAGACTCCAATCACTCCTGCTGTGACCAGTCCTATAATTGAAGCCCCGCTCACACCTGAGACTCCAGTCGAGGCTCCGCCCACTCCGATGAGGCTCCGCCCACTCCGATGAGGCTCCGCCCACTCCGATGATAAGTCCTATAATCGAAGCTCCGCCCACTCCTGTGACAACTCCAATAATCGATTCGCCTACTCCTGAGACTCCAGTTACAATACCTGAAGAAAAGCACCTTGAATATAATGACAAAACTCCTTTAGATGGGAAAATAACGCCCCTTTCATATGTGGAGGAGCCTAATGAAAAGCCATTATTAACTGATGATCAAAAAGTTTTAATGGAAATGGCCGTTCGTGCCGCTACAGTGTCGAGTTGGCAGAGCAAGCACAAATAAATATGGAACTTGGTGAAAAATATTGGCCGTTCGTGCCGCTACAGTGTCGAGTTGGCAGAGCAAGCACAAATAAATATGGAACTTGGTGAAAAATATTGGCAGAATGCCCGATTTAAGTATGCTTTAAAAGATAGTGTGATTACATTAAAAGAAACGGGCGAAATTGTGCAGTTAAGAAAAACACCTGAAAATATTCTTGAATGGGTTAAATCTCAGTTAATATTGTTAACTAATCGTAAAATTGCAATTGATAAATGGACACAGGAATGTTTAGAGTATGGAAAAAGAGCTTCGGAAGCACAACTAGAAACTGAATCTGCAGAATCCCGCGGGGATGTTTCAGAAGCAAGAAAGGCTGCAGATCGTGCTAAGGCCGCAGAACGTAAAGTAAAGGAAGCAGCCAGTCAGGTTGAAGAGGCTGTTGCGGGGCAAAAACGTTTATCAGAAGAAATTATTGGTAAAGTTGACGCAGAACTTGCGAAACAGGAAGATACTTCATCAATTCCTGTATCTTCAAATATTGAAAATGTAAATGAAAAATTAACCGAAGAAAATATCGAGGAAAATATTGAGGAGCATGTTGATTATGAAGCTCTAACCGACGAAGACGAAGAAGAGTGGGCACCTCCATTACCACAAGAAAATATCGAAGAAAATATTGAGGCCAACGAAGAAAAACCGACGATTATCGAAGAAGGTACTGCGGAAGAAGATAAGCAAGAAGATACACAACATGAATTACAAACAATAACCGATGATGACGAAGAGCAATGGGAAGCTCCATTACCAGAAGAAAGTAATGAGGTACATGAAGAAATAATAGAAGATACTGAAGAAGATGATACAAGAGAAGAGCCTCCGCAGGAATCACAAACAATAAGCGATGAGGACGAAGAGCAATGGGAAGCTTCATTACCAGAAGAGAAAAATATCGAGGCGAACGAAGAACCAACGATTATCGAAGAAGAAACAAATGAAGAAAACACACAAGAGGAGACTCAGCAGGAATCACAAACAATTTACGATAAGGAAGAGCAATGGGCACCTCCATTAGCAGAAGAAGACCCTGTAAGTATTCCACCCTCAACCGCAAATTTACTTGAAAATATTGTGCAGCCTAAAGTAGATAAAACAATTCCTACAGAGGAGCAGCCTTCTCTTCCACGTCCTGAAATGTTAATTGGAGAGCCTCCTCACCATCCCTCCTCATGGAAAAGCTTCTTTGGACTTGGAGGTATGTCAAGCGAAGATAAAACGAAACAAAATGAGCCTTCAGGCCAAAAGGAAAAAGAACCTCACAAAGGAAAGTTAACAATAAGAGTTGATGATTCGGATCCTAATGTAAAGAAAATGCATTTTGCTAAATATGGCTATCCTCCTGAATATCTAAAAATGCTTCTTAGCTTTTCCAATATACAACTAGCCGATCCAAAATATCAATGGGTTTCTGTACACTTTGACAAATTGCATAAGAGGTTCCATGTCTTCTTACAAGGAAACGTACAATATATTCAATTAAGTCGTCAATTAGCATATACTCTTGGTTTTGAATCTGAGAAAGTTCACAGTGGACAAGTGGCAAAATATATGCCTGATATATCTGGAGGTGTTCGTCAATTTTTGGTTTACGCTCCAAGGCTCGTTGAAAATAGTATAATTGGAAACGTAACTGCACCTCTATTACGTGTTGTGAATCTAACTGGTAAGCCGGGTGATAGTATTTCCGAAGTATATATGACCGAGCATCAACATCGTATATTAGGTAAACGTCATCCAGACATTACTATTGAAATTCGCACCTTAACTGGAAAACTCGTAAAATTCCATTGGGGAACCTGTATACTAACACTACACTTTCAACGCTCTTTATTTTAAAAATGACACATGTACCAATAGATTTAGATAAAATAGACTGGGAACTTTTCCTAGCCTCCCAAGATGGAGGTTCAAGATTAATAGAAGGAAGTCGTTATTTTCAAGGAACGAATTATCAAAGAGGATTTGGTTTATTAGGATCTGTAGGGCGTTTTCTAATGCCAATAGTTAAAAATTTAGCTACTAGTGCAGGACAAGAGGCAGTTAATGTTGGAAAAAATATCCTTGAAGATGTTTCGCAAGGTCGATCCGTTAGTGAAGCAATGAAGCAACATGGAAGCGAAGGGCTTCAAAAAGTAGGAAAAAAGCTCCAACAATGCGGAAAAGGCAAAAGAAAACGCAAACAAAATATTATTATCGGAAATTTAGGGAACAAAGGCCGCCGCCATAGGGATCAACTTAGTTTATAAAATTTCTGAGTATATAAGTATAGCATAATAACTAATTTTTTCTAAGTAAAAATGACAACATTAAAGAAAATTGATAAAGATAGTTCAGAAGGTGTAGACAACCGTTTATCCTTCTTTTCTATTCCCTCTACAAATGTGGGTATTATTCGTTCGGCATATAAAGAATTACTGCCTCTTAATGCTTTAAATCAATCTGCCGGTCCTTTTATTTTTCGGTATTTTGGTGACGCGCTATATCTTGATTTGAGCAAAACTTATTTTAGTCTGGTTTTATCCTTAGAAAGAAAACATGCAACTAGCGATGAATGGGTTCCTATCACAGACGGTGAAGCTGCCGATTTGAAAGGCGATAAATTTACAGGAGTTGCTCAATATCTAGGTCTTACATGGATTCGTCGTCTAACTCTATCAATTAATGGTGTTCAGTGCTATGATTCAGGTATCCATTATGCATATAGATGTATACTTCTACACGAGCTTGGAGCAAGCCGAGAGGTGAGCAAAGGACTATATGAAGCTTCACTTAATTATAAGGATGCCGTCGACAAGGATGCATTTGAAGGTAGTGGCTTTAAGTCACGGGCTTCTCGTTTTGCTAATGGCCAAACATGTAGATTATTTTCCCACTTAGATTATGATATGGCACGTCAGAATCAGCTTCTAATTCCGAATAGTGACGTGATCTGGACCATTTACAGAAATTCTGATGAATTTCTTATTCATACCCCTAAGTATCGCTTAGCTACAGGCGGAGAACTGATAAGTAATACAAACTCTTATCGTCTGCGTCTTCATGATATGAGAATTTATGTTAAACAAGTCGATTTAAGTATGTCTCTAAATAATGCTATTTCTAGACATTTAGAGCAGTCACCAGCGAAGTATGCTTATAGAAAAATAGAAATTCGGAGTGTATTTCTTGGAAAAGGTCGTCAAGAAATTACACATCCCGCATTCACTAGTACATGTCCTCGCCGTTTAATAATATGTTTTGTAGGTTCTCCTGCATTCACTGGAAATACTGCATTATCCCCATTTACTTTTGAAAACGCTAATTTGCGATCAGTTTCTGCAGAATTTGGAGGATTCCAATTTCCTGCGGTGCCATATGACCTTGATTTTGCTAAAGGTAATTTCGTTCGCGCTTATGTTGACACTTATGTTGGTATGGATCTAGATAATTGGCCAAATTCTGATCAAAGAACTCTCGATATCAATATGAAAGAATATTCAAAATCCTCCTGCTTCTTTGTTATACCGATGACTTCAACCCTTGAAGATACAAATGGGCTAGAATTAATAAGACAAGGTACAACAACCGTACGGTGTCTTTTTAATCAACCCGTCAAAGACTCGGGTTATGAAATGATAATAATGGGAGAGTTTGATGCAATCATGTCCATAAATGCAGATCGCGTCTTAAGTACGGATGGATCAGTTTAGATCATGAATTCTCTCCATATTCAAACTATTTTACAACGTTACAAGCCTCTAAATAATAAATTTATTGGCGTGTTTTCTTCGAATAATATTCCTGATATTGGAACTCAAAAGCCTTTTTGTTTTGTTGCAAATACGATGCGTAAAGGCACAGTTGGTGAACACTGGATTGCCTGTTATTCAGATACTCCAAATACATTGGAATATTTTGACTCCTTTGCCGAAGAACCAAATTGTGACATGAGAAAGTCAATGCTTGCCAATTTTTCCTTGGTGAAACAAAATAAATTTTCATTACAATCTCCCTTGTCAGATACTTGTGGTCATTATTGTATTTGCTTCCTCATCCTACGTTCGAAACAGGGTAATAATTTTTCATCTGTTCTTCAAAAGTTGCACTCAATACCTTCAGAGGGACGCGATGCTATTTTACGAAATATTATAAAGAAACTATCATTAGGAATTAGTATATAAGATAATTATTCAGTGTTTATGCAATAAAAATGCTGCAATCATTATTTTTAATTTTCTTCCTTTGTGTGATTTACGCTTATAAGCAAAATGATAGTAATATACTTTATCCTCTTCATGGACCAATCCCTACAAATGTAAATGCATGTTTTATTATTGATGAAGCTCATGCGCTTTCAGTCGGTCCTTCAGGAAATCCTAATAAAGATATGTTTTTATTAATCGCTTATGTCCTCGATTTGTTACTAATTTTTGTTTTGGCTGTAGTGTTTAAAGCACATGTAAATTTGCGAAGAAATGGAAACGGAGAACTCCCAGGAATTAGGCTTGCGAGAGGGCCTCTTGGTATATAAGCCAAGAGAAATAAGCTTATAGAGATAACTTTTACCAGGGAATATGAACATGCGTACTAGTGCTAATATGTCAGAATTTAGAGAACATGTTAAATTTTCATCAAAATCGCCTCCTCCTCATGTGCGCGTCAAAACTGGTTCGTTACTTCAATTACTTTGTAAATTTAATGGAGGGTGTACACCCGTATCACTTCACAGAGAAATGCGTAAAAAATACAACGAAAATATCCAATTCCTTCAATCACTTACTAGCATGACAAATGAAGATGTTGCCATAAATGGAATTGGTCAAAAGACATTTTCTGACAACACTATGAAGCCGGGAAAGAAGGCTATAGTAACAAATCATTTAAGACATATTCAGTTCGAAATATATCCAAGTAAATTGACTAAGATGGGCGCGGATCGTCTTTTTGCATTACGAGGATACTTACGTGTGACAATCAGGCAA